CCCAGCCTTCTTACTCGTTTGCGGTGTATGCACGTTAGTATATACGAGCAGATTATTCGGGGCTAAATCACGACTCTTAATTCTGCAATTCCTTGCTTTCTAGAGTCTCAAGACTTTGTGTTCTGAGCTGCATGACTTCATGAGATTAGGAGTTTCGGTCCTCACTTCCTATGTTTGAAGGAGACCCAACTCCAGCTCGTCTTGCCGGTGCCTATGGTCTGCATCTATGACCAAGCCTTCAGAGTGATTGGCCTATCTTGAGGTCCACTCCAAAATTGGAACATCCGAGTTCCTTTCCAGCCACAAAGCCAGGTCAGCTACTGGCCAGCTCTGCCTGGGAAGCATGGGTGTGGTTCTCCCAACCAAGGTACACCATCAGGGAGGTTCAAACCAGATTTGAAAAAGCCCTTCTTGAGAATGACTAGGGAAAAGGACTTGGGGGGAAAGATGGATAGTCATTGGAGAGGATTTGGAAATCTGGACTTGGAGGAGAGGGATGGGGAGGGCTGGTCATTATCGAGGAGGGCTGTTGGACATCACTCTTCAGGAGGACTAGCAGGTGAGTGAGGAAAGAGCAGGCTTTGCAGGCCTGACAGCCCACACCCAGGCTGGAGACCTCAGCTCTCTCTCCTAAGGACCAGGAATGTGCCTTCACCAGCAAGACTCCTCTAGTTCCTTTTTTGCTGGTACCTGTGATAGTCCCTGAATCCATGTGTGTGGTGCATTTTGTCAGGGTCTATGGCATGCGCCTGACATACATGAAATCCCTGAGCCCCACAGGACAGGCTCTGACCGGTGACCCAGAGTGACACAGCTGATATCCTGGATGCCAAAGCCTATGCTGTCAGCTACACACTTCCTCCAAATGATTGTTTGCTTCCTGTTGCTGGCCATGACACAGCACTGGAAGTTCCAGATTCTGGGTTGACTATGGGTACCCAGCTTCTGAGTTAGGATAGATGGTTAACTTCGCTAAACTGTAAAACCCAAGGAGCTGTGCAAACTGTACAGGATCAAGACTTGAAGGGTGACCGACCATCCTGGGCTGGTTCTTTTGTAATCCAGGTCATGTAGCCAGACCACTGAGCTTAGTGGGCATCATATTCTCCACAGGACCATAGTGAGAATCAGATGAACAATAGCTTCAAGGGTGGGAAGGTGCCTGACGATTGCATTTAACTCATAGATCTCTTTAGTCTTGACATAGTCAAGTTTTCCCCAAGTCGTGGCGCCTTCCAGGTTGGTCTTACTGGTGCCACTCTGACAGTTTGTTTCTTCAGTTGAGTCTGTCAAGAGTCTCAGAGAACATCCTTGGAAGGCACCTGGGGGAAACGTCCCTAAGGTGGGGAAAACGGCTCGGCACTGGAGGATGATGCCAAAGCCTCCCAGAGGGTCAGTGGGCTGCATTTATGTTCTTTCCACCATATTCTGTGTTTATCGATTTCTCAACAAAGAACAAAATGTTGAGCATTGCTATGTGGGCTCAGGGCCCAACTGAGGCAGACTGCCCTGCTGCAGGGAGCTCGCAGCCAGCATCCAGCTGCGTCTCTGAGGTGCCCATCTGCAGTGTCAGATACTGTTCAAGTTCCCAGGAGCTGACTTCCCTCTCGTGTTCCAGTGTCCAGAACTCACACGGGAGGATGCCCCTCTTCTTTCGGAAGCGGAAAGCCAGTGAGGAGGCTCGGAAACGCCTGGAGTACCAGATGTGTCTGGTAAGGCAGGTGTGTTGTCTCTCACTCCTCAGCTCCTCCTCTGCCCGCTGAAATGTCTACAGGGTGCTTGCTCCTCCCCTCTGCCTTCCCACTCTGGGAGTGCCCTTCCTCACAGACTGAATGTGTGTTGGTTTCTTTGCGTGCTGGACCTCAGTCAGTCACTGGCCACCTGCCAAATGGGCCAGTAAAGGCAGGCTGTGGCTGTGATCCTTTCTGGCTCCTCACATTTGTCTTTCTTTCCTTATTTTCTCTACTTCACACTATGTTTTGCCTGAGTGCTTTTTTTTCCCCCAGTCTTGGGATTGGACGTGGTTCTCAAGTTACATGTCTCACACCTGTAATCCCAGCACTTAGGAGTCCAAGGCAAGAAGATTGCCACAAGTTCAAGGCTAGTGAGAGCTATATAGTGAGTTCCAAATCAGCCTGAGATTCGAAAACCAGCTGTGCTTACATCACTGGGAGCTGAGCTGCTGCGTTCTACATCTCATATAGTACAGCCATGGAGGGCAGATTAAAAGAGCAGGAGTTCAGGAAAGTATTGCAGATAGCAACCAAAAACAAATAAAAAAAAAAAAATTTGGGAAGATGGCTCAGCAATTAAGAGCACTTGCTGCTAAGCATCGGTGGCTCACGCCTTTAATCCCAGCACTTGGGAGGCAGAGGCAGGCAGATCTCTGTGAGTTCAAGGCCAGCCTTGTCTACAGAGAGAGTTCCAGAACAATGCAATACAGAGAAACCTTGTCTCGAAAAAACCAAAAAAAAAAAAAAAAAAAAAAGAGTACTGGCTGCTCTTCCAGAGGTCCCAGGTTCAATCCCCAGCACCCACATGGCAGTTCACAACTATCTGTAACTCCAGTTCCAGGAGATCTGATCTCTTCATACAGACATGCATATAAGCAAAACACCAGTGAACATAAAATAAGAATAAATAAATCATTAAAAACTTTTTTTAAAAGCCTTCAAGGCTCAAAACAAAGCAAAACCAATTGCAACTAATTTTAAGAAGCTAACATCATGAATATGAAACACTCACAGAATCAACAGAGCTTTTGTAAACATACAGGTCTTGAAGACTTTGTGTGGAGGGATGAGGAGTTGAGACAGGGTTTCTCTGTGTAGCCCAGGCTGGCCGGGAATTCACTCTGTAGATCAGGCTGGCCTGGAACTCAGAGATCTGCCTGACTCTGCCTCCCGAGTGCTAGGATTAAAGGCGTGCGCCACCATGCCCAGGAGAGTTGAAGACTTTTTAAAAGCCCCTCTCTCTAACCCCTGCAGAAAGCTTAATCTTGGGAGATGCGAGCGGGAGGATCAGGAGTTAGAGGCCAGACTTGGCTACAAGATGAGTTTGAGGCTACATGAGACCCTGTCTCAAAAAACATTTAACTTAAAAATGTCTTTTTCCACCTTAGGCAAAAGAAGCTGGGGCAGATGACATTCTTGACATCTCTAAATGTGAACTCTCCGAGGTAAAGTGAGGGTGTATAAAGGCTATGAATTTAGTCTGCCCATGTCCTTGAGGAAAACAAATGTAGACTGAGACTTTCAAAATGGCAAAAGTGAAGACAGGCAGGTGGCTCCCCCAGTGAAATGCTTGTCTTGTAAGCATGAGGACTGGAGTTCCCTGGGGCTTGCTAGCAACCATCCTAGCTGAGTCAGTGAGCTCTAAGCTCAGTGAGAGATTCTGTCTCAAAAACATAAGGTGGGGAGTAAGACATGACGTCAGCTTCTCTCCTGAATAGAGTGTGTGCACAGACACACTGGGTATGAGATGTCCTTGCCCAAAAGAATTGAGATGATCTTTATTTCCTGCATTCCATTCAGGAGGCAGGGAGGATCATGAGTCTGAGGTCGGCCTGGGCTACATAGTAGAACCTTGGAGAAAGGCAGGAGGGGAAATCTAGAGGATAAAAATCAGTGATAGAGCCAGGCAGTGATGGTGCACAGCTTTAATCCCAGCACTTGGGAGATAGACACAGGCAGATCTCTGTGAGTTCAAGACCAGCCTGGTCTATAGAGTAAGTTCCAGGACAGGCTCCAAAGCTACACAGAGAAACCCTT